GCAGGGGAGGGCGGCGCTGCGCTGGGCGGCGCAGGGGAGGGCGGCGCTGCGCTGGGCGGCGCAGGGGAGGGCGGCGCTGCGCTGGGCGGCGCAGGGGAGGGCGGCGCTGCGCTGGGCGGCGCAGGAGAGGGCGGCGCTGCGCTGGGCAGGGCGGTTCAGGGTAGTGCAGGCGCGGGGTGGGGCGGGAATCGGAACACGGCAGAGGTGCCACCCACCTTCTTGTGGGTCTGGGTTCAATTCCCAGGTGTCCCCAAATGTTATGACCCATGTTACATACACAACATACACACATGTCTGTGAACACATGAGCATACAGGCAGAGGGCACACGCACAAACAAACACAAAGGACGGAGGGAAGGGCAAGGGAGAGCAGGAGACAGCAGAGGACAAGGCACTGAAGGGCAGAAGGGAGGGCAGATGGGAGGGGAAGGGAGGATGACTTTGGGAGGGCGGAATAAGAGTGAGAAAAGGTAGTGTGGAGGGTGGGGGTTGGAGGGAGGGAGGGATGGTGCGCCACGCATTTCTCCCTTCTTTCACACCCCGGAGGACAAAACAGCCACACGGCTCTATGGGGCCGGAGGCTTCAGTGTTATTAGCATATGCATCATTCGCGCCCACACGAATCCCCCAGGGTCCCTGTCGTATTTAACCGGTGGCTTCCCCATTCGTTTGACTGGACATTCATAGGAGAGTCACACACACAACCTGCAGAGGCACACAAACGCGCGGCACGCTAAAACCCGCCATCAAGCCTGTAATTTATTTAACTTCTGGAGAGACACCCCCAGAGTCCCGGATGGGCAGTGGCAGGTGTTGTGTCGTGTGCGGGGTTTTTGATTGTTGGGATGTTGTGCACAACACATGGGTGAGGCGCTCTTGCTGTGTTGTTTCGTCTCACCCCACAGCCTTCACCACACAGCCTCTGGGGGTCAGTTGTTTTGCAATGGAAGCATGCAATGTGGTATAGGATGTGGGGTACGTTTAGACTCTTTTTATAGGACAGAGGGCGCAGAGTCGTCCAGCTGTGGAGGGCTGGAGAGAGGTGCCGTGGGGGACTCTTTTTAACATCTTTTACACAAAAGCTATTGTGGAGGAACGCGCATTTTTGTGGGTAGGAATGCATGTGTTTTGTCTTCTCCCACTTGTGGTGGTGTAAGTTGTTTTGAGCCACACCACCCTGTGGCGCGCAAGTGAGAGTTTGTGCGCACGCAGCTGCAGCTGCGTGTGTGCATGTGCATGCGCATGCGTTCGAACTGTATATTCGTTGCCGACCCGTGGGTTTCTCTCTGCCCCGACGACGCCCTGTGGCGTCCTGCTTCCCGTATGCTAGTTTTAGCACGTGTGGAACAACTTGCAGAACGATAGGTGGGGCACTCGTACGAGCACCAACAGGGTAAAGCGACCATTCCACCACAACATACTAGGGGTTAACTTTATTGATAACTCACGCGCATGTCTGAGACATCCTGAGTAGAGAATGTGACGCCTAGCTGCCTCTCAATCGCGGGGATGCTGTCCGCGACCCTTGCGAGTGAAATTGTTATCCCATATGAAGAAAACGTTCAGTTCGTATTCGTTTTCTTTCCTAATTGTTGCACGTGCCGGTTCAGTTCATCTAGGGTGCCTGGTTGAGCCTTTCGGCGCTTGTTGGCCCGTCCATCGCCGCTGTCTGACATCGCTCTTTGCGGCGAGCGCCGGCTTTGGAGGAATAACTCTAATAGTAAAAGTCTAACTAAATGTTTGAAGGCATGCGGCGCGAGGACTGACTGGCACGAGCATAACATGCCGCTCGAAGATATGCAATATATTGTAACGGCTGCGCATGGAATTGTTTGCATGGCCATGATAATTGTTTTGGGGGGTTCAAATCCTCAAATGCGTCAAATTCCAGGCCCGAGGAAATCTTTGCATGACCATTATATTGCTTATTGTTTTGGGGGTCAAATCCTCAAATCCCGATGGGATTTGACCCGGATTTGCTTGGGAATTCATGGGGTCAAATTCCGGAATTCCGAGCGCGTGAGGCCTATGCAAATGCCAAGCCCGAAGAATTCTTTGCATGACCATTATATTGCTTATTGTTTTGGGTCAAATCCTCAAATCCCAATGGGATTTGGCCCGGATTTCCTTGGGAATTCATGAGGTCAAATTCCGGGATTCCGGCCCCGTGAGGCCTGACGGGGGTTTTCGGTGTTACTGTGAATGCGCGAAAGTGTAAGCTGTTGTTTTTACATCCCAATGTACAGGTTAGAAGGCAGGTTTATGCTCTCAGCGCATATGACCTCACCCTGCGCGTGCTTGAGAAAGGGCTGCCGATGTTCTGGCCGGTCACGTGGAAAACGCGCGCCCGCTATCTTGGGCTGCACTTCGGACCAAACTCGGGTTGTGCGCAAAAAATGTCCTCGCTCCAAGCTGGCGGCTGCGACCGAAGCCTCGCTCTGACAACTCATCCGTGTGCTCTCGGAATCACCACCAGCACCACCACAATATAAAAAGGATTATTATTCCTTCCAGTTCTTTCAAGACACATACGCCCCTTCATAAGGCCTCGTGGAGCAGGGTTCTTCACCCCGATTCGGGCCCGAACTTTTTTGAGATATTTCCGTTTTGCCCGAAAGGAAAATTAGTGCGGCCCGGAGCATTCCGAACGGATTTTGGGCCTTTTAGAGCATTTTTTCGGGGACCCCACCGAAGCCTTTTGAAGGCATTTTTGGAGAATACCGAACGATATGTCAGCGTAAATTTGCATGTTTTCGGGCGCAGACGGGGCCTGGAAACCAGGCTTGCCGTATAAGGCCCGCTTGGTCACCAGCCAAACAATGAGTACAAATGTGCATTGCGGCTGTTTCGCGGCTGCATACATCTAAGCATATCCATATGCCACATTTTCATACATCTAAGCATATCCATATCCCACATTTTCATACATCTAAGCATAGTTAAACATGCCCGAGTCAACTGATGATGAGCGCCCAACCAAGGTGCCCCGCATCTCCCTCGGGATTCGCGGCTTCGGCAAGCTCGAACCGCCTGTTTGCCTTCGATGTCAGCGAACTTGACGTTTTGCAGAAAGAGTTTTCAGTTATGAAGTCTAAGATAGCCTTGCTTTGGGTAAAATCCTAAGAGCTATGTTCCAAAATAAAGTCAAACACCTGTTAATTCAGCCGTCCTAGCATATAACGATAGAATCCAGCTAAATTTTACCCCGAAAACCGCTTCAGACAGTTTCGGGGTACCCGAAAACACTCTCCGGCTGACAGGAAAATTTTCGGGGAGGGCCCCGAAAGGTTATTCAGAGGGTTTCGGACACGGCCGAAATTTTTGGGTACCCTGGTGAAGAACCCTGTCGTGGAGTGCTTCAGCGCGCTTGAAGCTCGTTCATTTTGTGGATTCGCGAGGTGGCATTTGAGAGGTCACCAAGCAGCGCTTCAGTGTGAACCTGCAAACATGGACACACATCAATACGCCACATACATACATACGTACATACAGCTCATCTGTTACATTACAACAGTACGAAAGTTTCCGACCTCCTGAACTCCTCACATTACATGACCCTCCGAAACCATGAACCAAGACGGAAAGGGGCTATCCCCTGAACAAAGGCCCCTGCAAGCCTAACGAACTTCATTAACGGCATCAGGCACACCCAAGCACGATTTGCTATGGGCTCAGGCTCCACTCCTCCGTTTGGGGGTGTTGGGAAACACAGGACACCAAATACAAAGGTACCGATATGTGTAACTGACATCCACGGGGCAGTNTGTTGTGTACGGCTGGAATCGAAACCATCCGCAACCTCGTATCACTGCGCCGCCAGGGGTGACTCCTCACCTCCCACTTCCTCATCTGATCACGCACCCTCCATTCCCCAAGCTAGGGCAGCAAATTGAGAATAGCAGTGGTGGCTGCACCACTACTGGACATGCCATCGATGGTGATAACCCCTAGTGGGTACAGCAGTGCTGGCACCAAGCAGGCCAAGGGACTCTAGTTTCCTGACTGCAATGGGCACCAAGAAGCCCGCTTCACTGTGGCAAACAAAAAACATGGCATTCGGCGGGGTTGGGCACGCTGTGTCACTGCAACCAGGACAAGCCACACCACGCCACACTACGCCAACTGATCTGCACCATGCCATGCCAAACCGAGCCAAGTGTGCAGCAGGCAAGCAACTGAACAAGGACAAACTCAGGCACACCTCTTCCGCTCAGCATTTGCTGGCAGTCTGCTCCCCAAGAGGGAACATGCACCCTGCATCCGTGGTGCAGTCAACAGTGCTTGACACAAAATACTGAGCCCACGGCACTTGTATCCGTGTTTCCATGGCTTTCACCATGCAAACATGCTCAGTCTATGGGGTCCCAGTGGGGCAGGTTTTCCGGGTAGGCATCTATGAGGTACTTTACTAGGCTGGCGGTCGAGAGGATGAGAGCAGCCACGGTGGCCTCCCATTGTGCGGCTCCATCGGGGGAAGAGAGGTCGGGTGAGGCGATGTCCACCACCGCCTTGCTCGCCTGAGAAAAAGATAAAATAGTGAGTAAGAAGAGCAGAGGTGAGGGGCGCGGAAGTGCATGGCGGGATGAGAGGAGACATGCAAGCAAGCAAGTCCTGGTGGGTATTGGCTCCCGCTCAGCCACATAACCGGTTCATAATTGCTTTAACCGTTCATACATAATTATTCCTAATAAAATATGACAATATTATTTTTATAATATTTTTGGGCGAGGCCCCGGGCGCGAAGCGCCATTCGGGGGGCCGAGCCCCCCGGGTTCACTGCTGTCAGTCAGTCAGTCAGTCCAGTCAGTCAGTCAGTGGCTTACATATCTCGCCCCGCAAAAAATAGCGTTTGAATGCTATATCCATTCTGCATCGAAATGCCAAAGGAGACATTCCAGATAAATCGGAGCGCGAAGATAGCTTTCCATGGCTCCGAGTTAAACATAAAGTTACATATCTCGCTCCGCAAAAGATTGAATGTAGAAGCTATATCTATTCTACATCGAAATGCCAAAGGAGACATTCCAGATAAATCGACAAAGATAGCTTTCCTGTAAGTGGCTGCACCGGGGCCGAGCCCCTTTTCGGCTTTGAAAAGCCGCCCCCCTAGTTATGTTTGTCATTATTACTTTTCATCCACAACTCCTCCCATTCAGCCAAACCCCCCAGTACCCCATTCCTCCCTCCTGCCCACCCTTTCTGCTTCCGTTCCCTCCATTGATCACCCACCTTGAGGCCACCGGCCCCAGTCTTCAGCAGGAAGGACAGCTGCGCCGGCAGCAGCGCGAAACCGCCGCGCCGCGTGAGCACCGCATCCGACTCATAATGGCTGAATGTCGTAAGGAGGCAAATTTTCTGTGGAATTAAGGATTGCGATCTTATCAGATCCAAGATGTGGATCCGGAGTCAAATTGAATCACGCTGCCGGAATGCAGAAAGCGGGAGCCACAGGACATGGCTGCAAAGCAAAAAAAACACTCAGCCATTTCTGGCCCCTTCTGTACGTTTCGTCTGGGTCTTGTTAGGCCCAGGGTGAGGAAGTCATTCGCAGCGGAAACACCCCGCACACAATAGGTAGGCATTAATAAGATATAGGCAAGCTACTGCTCCATACCCCATCGTGCGTCCATCACGGGTCGCAAATCACCGACCTCGAGGTAGTAGTCTCGATCCGGTCCGGCTTGGTGCTCCGAAAGCACCATTTGGCGCATCTCGTCCAGAATCTGCGAATCTAGCGCCATGACCAAGTCGTAGCGGTCCAAATCCTCGAGCTCAAAGGCCTCCGCAGGTCGAGTGAAATAGCGAGGCAGGATTTCTAGATCGCTGGCTCCTCGCATTAGGGCTGTAAGTTTGGAAATGGCGTGAATGTCACGGGGCCCGCCCACCGCCATACCGCAGGTCCAGGGATACAGAGCCCTGCCAAGAAAGAGATAGATCGCAGAGGCTAAGATAAAAATTTGTCCGCAAAATTGTCTGGCGAGTACGGCAAGGTACAGCACAGGTACAGAGAGCTGAGAGGTGGGGCAGGCTGCGATGTAGAATGTGAGACGAAGAGGAACGCCAGGTAGGAGAGAGTGTGAGGATGATGTGGCGACAGCCACAGGCAAGCATAATGATTTGACCTAACAGGGCTGGGGACGGTGGCAGTAGGGCACGGCGACCCCGGGCCACGTGGCTACCGCTCGCACCTCCCATAGCCATTCCACTCGGCACAGCGTTCGAATAGGCCCGCCGCAAGCCGCGCGCGAACTGTGTCCGTGCGGTCGACCTGATTGGGTTGGGAGTGGCATCGAGCTTGGTGGTGATTGGGGTTGCACAGAAATTAGTTACGGTACTTCTATGGGTAATTGTGTGAAATGTGACGCTGGAAGACTTAGGATAAACTAAACTGCAAGCCAAGCTTTGTATGTTGAGGAGACTCCTTAACTATGACTCGCCACGGGACATAGGCCACCCCTTGCGGCCTCGGTGAAGCTGGTGCAACCGCATCTTTCCGGAATCCGATTGAACACACGAGGCAACGGATAGCTAGAATGCTGTTGCTTCCGATTTCGCAAAATCACACTTACGAAGAGGACTTGGATGTGGTAACGACTCCACGACACGTTTGGCCACAGGTGGGCCAAGCCTTGTGTCGGAAAGGCTGTGTTTGCTCCTTTTGAACCTGCTGGCTGGCCCTTTCCAGGATCCGGGTTCGCTGAAGTAGCTGCGCGCACTTCATACGTGACCCTTCGGGTTGCGCTCCTGATTCTAGGTAATGCGGACACTGCGAATAAGCATCGAGAGCTACTACTTGCTGTGCTAGCAGAAGTGCAAGGAGGACAAAGGGACATTTCCAATTGACTAGAGCCTCCGAGCCTAATCAATCCAGCGCTGCTCCAAAAATGCAACCAACAAATTCGTGTGCGTAACGAATTGCCGAAAAAATCGGTTTCAGATGGGAAGCAGGTAAATTATTTCTCCGAAACAAACTGGCCAAAGTCCGCAAGCTTTCCGTGATGCAAACATAAAGCCCGGGTCGCAATTATAATAGGCCGGTCCAATAAATTGGGTAATACTATCTTTTTTGAGGAACTGGCTGTAAATTGGTTATCTCTTATGTGGTCGCTATGTCGTGCAATACCTTGCACGTTCGCGGACATTATATATAAAGTATATATAAAAGGCCGTGTGAATAATGCTTCAAATCGGCACATCTCCGGCGCCACATTGCTCGTTAAACCTCACCCGCTCGAAACCCTACTTACGCCGCGGCGACCTGAAGAGCCGTGCCGAGAGGGGCACGGACAGCCTGTCGCTTGGACGAATCTTCCGTGATCACATTCTGAGCTGCTCATGTTCCTTCATGGACATTTCCCGATGCGTGTAGTCTTGCAGACCGGACTGGGGCAGCCTTGGACCCGAGCGAGGTTTCCCTTGTCAATCCCAAAAACTTGTGCATTTGCATTTCGGGCTTTGCCGTAATTACTGCTTACTAGTGCAGAGGAGTGAGCGAGCGCGTGGGCGTTGGTGAGCACAGGCGCGTGGGCACGAGACCGAATGGCATGCCATTCCATTACTGTGTGTGGTTGTTACAGTGGGCTCCAGACTCACAAAGAGTAGAGCCAACGGGCCAGGTACTGGCCGTGCACTGCACCCGAGACGAACAGGACAAACAAGACACCCATCCAGACCACAAGTCACCTAGACACACTACTGGGGCAAGCTGGCAGCCATTTCCCAACTTCCCTTCCACCGCGTATAGCGGCATGTACCCACATGCAGAGCTCAAAATTGTGTAAGGGCACGCATCATTAGCATTTCAATTTCTGCCCCAATAAACCCACCTGGCACACCCTAACATACCTTCAAAGCGAAAGCTCAACAATCAAACCCTCATCCGTACTCTCGCCCTGTCCTACTACACCCATATGCTGCGTCGCTGTCCTAACCCTGCCATTCCGCGCGCATCTCCATAACAACCTCCTCCACCATTGTGTGTATGTGTTACATCTCGGTTGCGTGACCCCGAGAGGCCTAACGAGCCCATACGAGCCACAGCAGGAGCCCAAGACCCTAAGAGCCACCATGTTTTCATATTAATGAATAAACAAAGACAACCAAGCCAAACACGCAACCGCTATGCCTCATTCAAGTCCAAACACGCACACACACAACCCGGACTCCGAACCTGCAGTGTCCCCGCGGGCCTTACAACCCCGCAGCCGCGCCAGATGCGGCATCTGCGGTTCCTGTGTCACGCGGATAGCAAACACCCTGAAGCGCCGAGCAGCCTCGCCCCGCCGGCTGCTCTAGCTGGAGGTCGGCAGCGGTGGGCCCGGCCGGCACAATACCCCCCGGGTTGAGCGGGAAAAGGTTCTTGAAGTACGACACGCGGGCTGCGTCTAGATCCACAGTGCCGCTCACCTGCTCCGAAGCCAACGGGGATAACAGCTCAGGACGCGTCTGTCCATCGTACAACAAGAGAGTGACACGAACGCCTGTCTTTTCTTTCTTCCTGCCGAAGGTGCAAAATCACTTTAGGAACCGTGTCTATGAGTGTTCGTGTGCATGTGCGTATGATCCCGATGAGAGTGTCTATGAGTTCGAGCATGCTTTGAAAGGTTTTCTTCAGTACAATAATCTCTCTTCTAGTTGTGTGTCGTGTTGTTTGGGTTTGGCGTCATCGTCATTGCCAAATGCCGCATGTCTTCTCCTAAACAGGATAGCCGTAGCCCGGAGAGTGATGCACGCACCGCAGTGGGTAATTCGGTAAACGTCGCAGTACGAACAAGGTCGTCGTACCGATGGCATTACAAAAATACCTTAGGACTCCGGGGTCATCAGAACAAAACCTCGAACCTCTTTCCCCCCACAAAGCAACAAACAAAGTCTGTACACTTGTTGCCTTTCCTTCACGCCGTACTTTTCCCGTCGTACTTTAAAACGTCGTACCTGTAAGCTCGAGCCG